GTACCCATTTATCATATTTCCTTTCCCATCAAAGTACACACCTTTGTGTTGTATAAAAGTATTTTATCCTCATTCCACATATCCAGGACTGTTTGTTTAGTAGAATCTTCCCAGAGTGTTTTTTAGACTGTCTGTTCTAACAATGGTACATTTTTCTCACATGACAGTATACGGATCAAACGTTTTTAAAGTATGTGTAAAACCACATTGTTTTGTATAGAAATGTTACCCTAAATTTTTCCTCAGTTCTGAAGCATTATATGTATATATAGTAAACACGACTCTATCAACTATATTCTTCAAAGAATTCCATAATACATAGAATTTCGTAACCAAGGCAGTTCTACTTGAGTTGAAGAATTCACATCATGAGTGTTTCTCACATTCTGAGTAATACGTATGAAAGCTTTGTTCTACTACCTCATAACTCATCTTCTTTAATGAAGTCGTTTTTCAATTAAAACTTGGAGGTTATGTAATTATCAAGTACATAGATAAATTATATATTAACAAAACATTGTATATAAGTGCCGTTAAGATTTCTATATACCATAGTTTTATTTAGATTGTGTCAGGACATGCTAATCAGGTAAACCTACAATGTATATAGATATATAGGTATTAGAGTGAAAATATAAAACTAGGAATATTTATAAAATTCACTTATATACAAAAGGCATGGTTCATGGGAATGTGAACGCAACAGATGTCTACAGATCTTCATTGTAATGTAAACAAAATGAAGCTAAATGTGGTACAGTCGTCGTATGTTCGTCTAAAGTACCTGGAATCACCCATCACATCTTTTTATACTCGTTAATGCAGATAGCATTTGAGATTCAGACCAGTCTCTACGGGGTGTGCAGACAGATAGCATACATTATTTGCATATACAAAAGATTAATGTGAAGATATCGAATTCACAATTTGGGACAATGGGAAAAAATGTCTACGAATCCTAGATGTTGATGGGTTTGGAGGGAGATTTAGCTTGGCATTTGATTTCTACTTCTTTCAAAATCCGAAAAAAAAATAAGAATTAAAGTAAGAATCTTTTTTTCACCGTAGGAGTCAAATGGTCACGGTCCATGAAATTTCCTGTGGATAAAAACCTAACTGAGTTTCCGTGCCTAGAAAGTAGGTGTACAGCGTCCTTGTCTGAAATAAAACATCGTAATACTACCTTTGGATTAAGGCTGGGTACACTCGAACAATGGACACGAAACATCTAAACGTTAATTAATGATTATAAAGCGTACAGAATGGCAGAGTATAAAATGTATCCGCAACAAAGAGCTTTGGCAGGCCTGGGTAGGACGGGGTCGGTGTGGGGTTACGTCGGGACGTAAATCTATATTGTATACATTTTACAAAAAAACGAACACCATCAGCTTACTTGTCCTTAACTGGACAATACAAGTCACGGTACACGTGACATTCTCACCTGTGTATCTTCCTCCTTGAAACGTTATCAAGATTTTTATATAAAAAGTATGATAAGCTTACGACAGATATAAATGAATATACTGCCATCCAATTTGAGATACTAAAATCTCACAACTACATGGAAAGTTATTTTGTTTAAATATCTGTTGAATATTTGGAAACAAAATTTGAATTTAGTTTTGCATATATTTGAATGAAGTTACTCATGCTTCGTAAAATCATGTCATGCGTGTCTCTTTCAAATCAAAATCATATGCGTTTTCTTTTCTGATGATGATCAAGCATAATTTAAAGGCTGAGTGCCAACATGTCATTATTCATGTCAAGTGTGTCATATTTCAGGCCGATCTTTTATCTGAGTGTATGATCTATAACTGAATAAGTCAGGAATAGCACTATAGAGGACATCAAAAATATCAGGGGATCCAGGGATTTAATCCCCCTTAAACTCGGGAGTTCTAACTTTGACTAACAAAAACTTAATGAAGTGTCGCTTACCCTAAGAAAAGCGATTGTTATTATTTACGCTTTTAAATATATTAAACAATTTACTTCTGAATATCCATTTCTGAGTTAAAATATGTTAATTAACTTATATATAAACATTATGATATATATTGCGATCAAAAATTAAGAAATGATTGATGTATTTGTAAAATACAAAATTTTGATATAATGAAAAAACATTTTCAAAAAAACACTATCTCTTCATTATCTATACCTTATCTAACGTCCTTCTTATATGAGAGCTCCACGTAATTTTGCCGTAACCTGGATCCTAATGACTATATCTAGATAGATCAGGGTATATTTTACTGTCGAAATGATTCATTCATTTAAAAGTGCCTTTTACCCAACAAAATGTTATTTATGATGGCAATATGTTAGACGAACTGCTAGGCAACGATATATCACACTATTAACTCAAAATGGAACATTCAGATCGTACATGACACAGAGAATATGACAAAAAGAAACAATCTTTGTTCGTACACCGAGGGTATATTAACACATTGTTCAAAGAACTTTTAAATTCTTTGTAATACTCTCAAAGCAAATAAACTTTTGATATTTTTGCATAAAAAGAACGAATATGCTTAACAAAGCCATGTGTTTATACTCTGGGTGAGTAGGCGCGTTCGTACCAGTCCACTCTGTTGACACAGGGACTTGACATCTATCGGCAATGGCTGAAAGTTAACTTATAACAAGAGACAGGACCCAATACAAACTTTCTAGTATAACATGTTACAGATTATACTGCCTTAAAACAGTTACACACACCCATCAACGAGACAGTAACCTCTTTAGAACCGACAAAACAAATATCCTGCCGAGAAAAAAGGCACACGAGGTTATCAAGTCACGTTATTTTTTTATCCCAGCGAATTTAAACAAACTAACAGCTTTAAGGTTTAAAAAAAAACAAGTGTGTCAAAAATTTTACAGGCTGTAATATAATCTTACACTTTTCTTAAAGATCTGAAAATGTTGACATATAAATGACAAATAATATTTAGGTATGGTGTTCATTTTGCAATAATGTATATGAAATAATTGCCGGAAATTAGAACGAAGGACGGGAAATGAAAGAATATATTTCTCATTGAAGAAGATTTACGGGTTACGATGATATCATCAATGGTTATTATGTAGAATTACATAACACCTTACTACACCGTTACACACGATTTATAGCTTTCCAAATGAGTTATCTGTCTAGTCAGTTACAAAATATTTTATATAGAAACGCAATCCTGTTCTGATTCATTCCCCTCATAATAGAATTGAAGTTTATTGTACACATTAATTTCGTTTCGATTAAAATTTATTTGCGCTGTAACAAATTTGCATTTCAGGCTCCATGAAATTAACATTCTGTATCAGGTAATTGTGGATTTTGTTTAATTTATAGGCCTGGATGACTTGCACATATTCACCATTATCACACTTGTATATTACAATATCATGTGACGGAAATTAATTTAAAGATACATTTGAATATATATGAAAATGTAATGTCACTAGAATTCTTCTGTTAAAGTCGCACTGATGACGTCTGTTGTCTTCACGCCTAAAAACCGCACGTTTTTTGCAATCTCTATGAAGAATGCGCGTATTGGGATGACTTTTTTTGCTGTTTGTTCTAATTAGGTATGTTCTAAATGTGGGTTCGATTTTGATCAGTCAAGGAGACCCAGACGGTGTGTCGTGTCATTGATTAGCGCATGTGAACTCAATCAGCTAAAACAGTTGTACAGCGACAGAAATAACATTTATATAAATATTTCAAGGCGTGAACGACTTCAAAGTACCTACAACTGAATTGTATATTGCGGCGTTTTGTAGTACAAACGTTGTGTCATTTGCGACATCCTAATTCGGTTTTACTCGTAAAATCAGATAAGGTATGCCGTAAAATGGCTGAAGGTAATGAAATCGCTCAACATTGCCCTGGAAAACTGCATTTTAATTAGCTTCTGATGAATATTCATAAACTGTTTCGCTGGTAGTCTTGACACTTGGGAAAAATACAATCAATACGTATTTTTAATGTATATTCATTCCAATCCGCGAATGAAGACCCGACCAATGTAGGACCGTATCTCAGAATTACACTCGGGTTTATAACAGCCACACACAAACGCCCGTAATGTATTAATTAGCGTTGATTCACTGCGCTATAAACCAGTATGATTGACACATTCGTTTATGAAAGCTACGAATTGTGGAAATTCTATTCCTAAAGCACCTTTTAATACAATGTCATGTCGCCTTAGCGTCCTACGGGTGGTCACATTCAGGTAGTGTCGAGCCTGGTTTTGTTCCTCCTCCCAGGGGTCACATGGGGTCACTGCCAGGAGGTGGAGACTCGTGAATCGCACCTAATCAGCCTCCATTGATTAAAGATTTTCCAATTGGTTCTGCGCATGCGCGAACGGCATGTTGACAATATCAAGTATTAGGTTTATGGTAGAGACTAGTCCATGTGTTGATCCGGGTTTATAGTTGTATTGAGAGCTCCGACTGGTGTAATGACACGAGTAAAACGAATTGGGGTAGAAAACACCTGAGAATATGGATGTAAAAACAATTGACAAATTCTTAAACTTGGATGTATTTTTTTTATTTGACAGATCTGTGAATCCGTTGGTGTCATGGCGTTGGCTACAGCTGTGTCAAGGTGTGGATAAGTGTTTGCGTGATTGATGACGGGTGGCACTGGTCACTACCTGACCACAGCCAGCGTGAACAACTCACAACACATGATCAGTATATGACAGAAACCGTCCATAAAATTCGGGAGTTGGTTTCCATTCATGGCAGTGGACGTCCGTGACGTGGATACTTAACGTCAGATCCAGATAACAACTCAAGTGAACATAAGTTCGCAACAGGGAATTACAAAAGTGACCTTTTCGTCGGTGAAACTTTCATTTTAATTTCTTTTCGGCGGCTGAGTTTGCGCTTTGGAATATAATGTGATCCAACACGAGATATACTGTGTGTGTGCCGTGTGTCTGTGTTGTGTGTTTTCGTGGGCCGTGCAGGGTATGAGAAAAAGTACAGGGTATTTTATGATGGGAATCGGATTTACACTCGGAATCGTTTTGGGACTGCTCATACAGCTTCCGGTAATCACCCTCCCCACATCCGGGCGAGAGCATGTTGATCATGGACTAGACCTCGTGGGGTCGGGACCGGATGTTAGGAAGAGGGTAGTGACGAGAGAGTTAAGTAATGATGGTAATAATAATGGTTTACGGAGCGGCGAGGGGTTGGACAGAATTACGTCGACTTATCCGCTAAGAGGATTGAAACACTCACTTCACAGTGTCGTTTATCCCATAAACAATGGAACTAAGTCGCATTTACAAGAAAAATCTGTGCCGATCCCTGATATTAAACATGATTATAAGCCGCAGTCCAGCAATCAACCGGTGGTTTTACCTCCGGCGAGTGATCCAGACATCCCCAAGCCGGGTCAACAGGGAACTGATTGGGTCAAGGCTGTTTCGGACATGGTGGACGGAGTATTGTGGTCACCTGCTCTTGAAAACAGCTGTTTTAAAGCTGGACAATCCGATAAAGCACAAAAACAATGGCGTGAAAAATCATCCCGCTCAAAAGTTGTAAAGATGAGTGAAGGATGCGGAAGGATGCAGAATCGTCTGCTCATGTTGTCTGATGGAACACGTGCATGTGCACGATACCGTCTTAACACTGACCAAATTCAAGGTGAAATTTATTCATTTTATCTTGGGAGGCTTCTACGCATTAATAACTTACTTCCAACAGTGTTGAGTGTGGTCAACTCTCAAAGCGACAACTGGCGGACAGTTCATACCGACATGGCCAATGCCCAATGGTCAGACAATAAAGTAGTGGTGCTAACACGATGGTCAGAGGGGCTTAACCCTGCCTACATTCCCGTCCATCTTCGAGGCGATGATCGTGCTCTTCTTCCAACATCCGGGTCATTGGGTGAAATGGGCGCGTGCGAGCTTATGCAGTGGTCAGATCTTATAATATTTGATTATTTAATTGCAAACCTTGACCGCGTGGTGAATAATATTCACAACAAACAATGGAACAGTCAAATGATGGAGAGTCCAGCTCACAATCTGGAGCGGGATTCGGACGGAAATCTGATTTTTATGGACAATGAATCGGGTCTATTTCATGGCTACCGGCTCTTGGATAAGTATTCGTCGTACCACAAGTCTTTGTTAGACTCTCTTTGTGTGTTTAGAAACAGTACAGTTAATATAATTGAACGATTACATCTCTCCGGGAATGTTGGAGAGGAACTACACCAACTTTTCGTCCAGGATGAACCTGCACATAACTTTATCCCAACTATTCCAAAAAAGAACATGAAAATTCTACAGCAAAGAGTTGGCGATGTGTATGAACAAATTCAGCGTTGCCGTGTTCGCTTTATGTAACAATCATGCCATTATTAGGAATTTTATATCTGGCTAATCCGACACTTCGGTGAAACTCCGTTGATTATTTGGTATCTTTTTTAGAAGAAATCAGATTAATGTGAATTTTTGGATAAGTTGGAGATACTACCGTAATATCAAAGTGTCGGATTACACAGGTTTCGCTTGAAATCTCATACTTTGCTCAATACGTAAACTGTGTATTCTACTGCTTAAAGAGTTGACAATATTACTATTGCGATCTATTTTCATATTCACAAACGTTTTACCCTATAGATTCAATATCGAAACTTACCTTGTATTTTGAAAATAACGACGAATTTTTATCTGTGTTTTTGAAATTAGGGTTTGAACGAGTATTTTATCGTATTTCCATCACATTATATCGGAATGAAAATTAAAAAAAAAATATTGAAGTCTTTACACACAAGCTTTAAGCCAAATCATTAATTCAAAATTATCTTCATTCTATAATTCGACAGTTAACAAAGATAAGTGAAATCAAACAATATCTAAATTTAACGTAGAAACTAAACAAGTGTTGAAATCATTTCTAACTTTCACCAGTATTCAAATACCTTAATGGAATTCGTTGTCAGGTCATGTAGCTGTAGAATACAGGTGATGAATTAATAAAGCTATGAGAGACTGGACCATTCCGAAACTTTCAAGTTTATTTCGTCATGACAAAAAAAAAATACTTATTTTCACCATATAGACTATAAAATAATAGTTATAATGTTAACAAAAAAACTCAAAACGACTCTTAAAAAAATGAGAGAGAACAAAATTCATCTTGTAAAACTGTTGAATATCTTACGAATTGCAAATCGTTTATATGTATAAAAAGAAAATGTTTCCGCTATCGGCTTCCGGAATGGTCCATTATAATCTACCTGTATGCTTAACTTACCAATAGTACCTTTTGTCTGCAAGACATTCGTTATATGTGTTATTGTGTACTTAAAGTATGCCTGATATGTGATATATGGAGTAACAGTATGTTTTATTTATAACTGTGATATTAATTATCTCCCCTTGTAAAGGGGTCGTGAGTGCTGAATACACAATATTAACGTGTTTATATGTTGTTTAAACATCGTTAAAGCGTCATTTAGGCGTTTTCACGAGTCGCAAGTATGTTTGAAGAATTGAAAGAATGTGTAAATACCCAAATGAATGAGACAGAGGGAGACTACAATAATGAGTGAGAGAGGAATATATCGGAGGTACAAGCAATATAAAAGAAATAAATCAGAACAAAAAAAAAATGTTTTTCTGTTTTTATTAACGTGAAATGAAATCCTATTAAAGAAATTTATTACATGATAAATTTACCACCAAGTTACCTTTGTTTCAATATTTTAAAAAAAATTTGATGTATTTCTTTAAATTAATTGATGATTGGTTTGTATTTCATATCGTCAAAGTTCATATTTACTGTGTCAAAAATACCATAACATATAATATTTAAAAACAACAACTTAAACACAAAGAAAGTTTGCAGTAACTTTTTATATTTATCAGATTCTGATCGGGGGCCGTTCTGATTTGATCAATGAAAGAAAACCTTGAAATGAATAAAAATCGCAATATTGAAAGCAATGTGAAAACTTACTACACAAAGAATGTGAATGACGGAAGAAATAACAGACGAAGAATGGATGTGTTGGTGACTATAAATAGAATACAAAATAACAGAAAATAAACATTAAAAATGGACGTAACTGGTTGGTTTTGATATGAACGAGATATGACGCCATGTTGGCTTTTGTCTGGGGCTAAGTGGCCCTAGCGAGGTATTGAGGACCCGCCCATCCATGTAATGGTTGAATTGGCTATGCTCTACACGCCATTTCCATCAAACATCCATCTTTAAAAGCCTGAACAGCTTCAAAAAAATTATTTATCGTTATTTTCGACAATTTTTCATAAAGTATCAAAGGTACTACATTTACCACACTACTGATAACGTTTTAAAACCGATACTCTTTCTTTTCCAACCATAAACACAATGGAAATAAGAACCAATAAAATCATTGGAAAGTTTGTTTCGTAAGCTTGCCATGCTTTCGACATCAGAATTCAGATGGCCTGATATGTACGTATAAAAAGTTTACTGTCACGTACCCGTAAACGTACCCGTGAACTAAGGAGGTTTACATTCACCTTTCCGGTAGGACGGTCATTTTTGTAACCTCCTGAAAGGACACAATTTTATGACTGTCCACATGTAGGTTACACTGCTATACCAACAATACATAGGAATTTGTCGCTTTGAATAATTATATGGGTACACAAAAAGTATCAAAAACCACAGGAAACGATTACCTTTTAATCTTTGAAAATTAATTTTATGTTTACCGAGGACTTGTCAAACGATAATTACACCGATATCAAAAATGTACGACATTCTACTATAAATTACCAAAATAATTGGATCCATTCAGTATCAAAATGGGGAAAAAGAACGAATTATATAGCTTATTGTGAGTATCTGGCATCTCGTATAACGTGGATTGTATGATTAGAGGATACATGTTCGTCATCACATATTCGATTTCCAGGGTCATTGTGCATGGGTAGTCGGGTCAGAGGATGCTCGGACTACATGTGGGTCATCTTATATTTAATTTTAAGGATAACTTTGAGTCGGTAGTAAGGCCAGAGGATACTCGAACTACATATACGTCATCTTATATTCAATTTAAGGTAGTTTTGGGTGGGAAGTAAGGCCAGAGGATACTCGAACTACATATGCGTCATCTTATATTTGATTTTAAGGATAACTTTGGGTAGGTAGTAAGGCCAGAGGATACTCGAACTACATATGCGTCATCTTATATCAAGGTTAACTTTGGGTGGGTAGTAAGGCCAGAGGATACTCGAACTACATGTGCGTCATCTTATATTTGATTTTAAGGATAGTTTTGGGTGAGTAGTAAGGCAAGAGGATACTCGAACTACATATGCGTCATCTTATATTAAGGATAACTTTGGGTGGGTAGTAAGGCCAGAGGATACTCGAACTACATATGCGTCATCTTATATTAAGGATAACTTTGGGTAAGTAGTAAGGCCAGAGGATACTCGGACTACATATGCGTCATCTTATATTTAATTTTAAGGACAGTTTTTGGTGAGTAGTAAGGCCAGAGAAACTCGAACTACATATGCGTCATCTTATATTCAATTCTAAGGATAGCTCTGGGTGGGAGTAAGGCCAGAGGATACTACACGTGCGTCATCTTATATCTAATTTTAAGGATATTTTTGGGTGAGCAGTAAGACCAGAGGATACTCGAACTACATATGCGTCATCTTATATTCAATTCTAAGGATAGCTCTGGGTGAGTAGTAAGGCCAGAGGATACTCGAACTACATATGCGTCATCTTATATTAAGGATAACTTTGGGTGGGTAGTAAGGCGAGAGGATACGCGAACTACATATGCGTCATCTTATATTTAATTTTAAGGACAGTTTTTGGTGGGTAGTAAGGCCAGAGGATACTCGAACTACATGTGCGTCATCTTATATTTAATTTTAAGGATATTTTTGGGTGAGCAGTAAGACCAGAGGATACTCGAACTACATGTGCGTCATCTTATATTTAATTTTAAGGATATTTTTGGGTGAGCAGTAAGACCAGAGGATACTCGAACTACATATGCCTCATCTTATATATAATTTTAAGGACAGTTTTTGGTGAGTAGTAAGGCCAGAGGATATTCTAACTACATATGCGTCATCTTATATTTAATTTTTAATACAGCTGTGCGTGGGTAGTAGGTTGAAACTATACTCCGACCAATGTAAATCATATATTCGATTCCATGGTGGGTAGGTTACAAGGTCAGGGGATAAATAGACTCCATACACGTCACCAGATATACATGGAACAATATAAACACATGTAGATTTAACTATATCTGTTTACATTGGTTTTACAGAATATTTAGTAATCAGATTCAAATCCGAATGGAAAATACAATTAATTATTCATAAATTCAACACAATTGTAAAAATGACTCTTGTTTACAAATAAACATCTTTAAGATGTGTATGAAATTCAACATGTTTTACCACGTTCCCGACTTAATGACGTTTTGTGCACGTGCATTGCAGCTCCTAATTGTTTGTATAATACTCCAAACAAGACAATCGACCAAATCAGAATTGAAGTGTTTTTATTAAAATATTCCTTCACTCAATATGCATGATATACTCCTATATATTACTACACATACAATGTGATGTCCATGTATTAATAATTCGAACATTTGCGGAATGTTGTATGATAAACTAGGACGATCATATATATACACCAATTAATTCATCATTAGGAATTCAAAATCATTCCTGAAGCATGCATCTCGTAATACAAACATATTTCAGTAATAATTCAGAAAAGGGTATAAAAATGTGACAGAAATACATTCTCTGTGTCAACCTCATTACATACTTGTTTTTCTCATTAGGAAGGCGATAGGGGCGAATACTATTTTATTGATAATTTATTATATTTAGAAAATGAAATTAGTTTATGACTTGTTTTAAATTGCTTTTATGAAATTCTTATCCTTAAAGCGGCAGTACCTTTAAACGTAACATGTATAAAGGATTAGATTTAGTACGTGTTTATTTATAGTAATTAAGGATTTAGAACGTGTTTATTATAGTAATTAAGGATTAGATGTCGGCCTGTCTATTTGATTACTAACTTTAAGTTCTGGCCTGGTGTAGTCTTGAGGGTTTTCATTCATAAATGTACTACACAAATGTGAATCCTACCAAACCAGAGCTGAAGCTTGCGAATTCGTTAAACTAACTATACCGGTCCATTAGTCAGGTTAATTATAACCGAATGCCTGGAAGATGGTGATTTGATCACATTTTCAAACCTCCACAAACTTTTTCTTCAACATTTCATACAAATCTAAACCATGTAATTTTCGCTATAATTAGGTATATAATTCATATGACATTTTCTGTCTTAAACAGATACAAAACGACGGAATGCTCCATGCAAAAGTATGATCAAACTTTTAAC